CTGAAAAAAAGAGATAGAGGCCAAGGGTCAGCGGCTATTTATAGCCAGGGAAGAGAGATCCCTGGTGAAAGGGTTAACGGACTGAAGGAGGAGTTAACTCCGACACACTCACACACACACACTCACATGCCGAACATAACTGTTACGCACTCACAAAAAAGCTTTTCTTACACAGCAATATCTTTCAAGAACAATCATTACAAGAGACTCTCATGAACATTTTTCCAGTGAACCTTAAACCAAATAACTATCTCTCACTGAACACTAAGATAACGGTTAAAGAGAGGCAACTCTTGGTTAATTCAACCTTTCTTACGTAAATGCATGTTTTCTTTCACATCGTTGTTTGATATTGTACATCTTGTTAAAATACATATTTTATGTGTAACAATGTCTTTTGGTTATCCTTTTTGCGTGAGCCTTGTTTCCTAATCAAAAGTTAAATTAATGAGGTGAAGTCCGCCACATTTGATTGGTGAGCCCGACGTGATTCGAACACACAGCCTTCAACAGCCAGTCATACCATTATGGCGGATTTCACCACAATGGTATGAATGGCTGTTATTGCACTTGTGTTTCGCCACAATGTTAATTTTGGAATTCTTTCTATTTTCGCCTTCTCCTTCTTCTGTGCTCCACTCAAAACATTACGTTTCATTTCTGATGAAAGGCTTATTCACCTGGAAATATATATCTTAAATATTTAGTATTAAATCCCACACCAGGATGCAGGGTTATATTATATAAGTGTGCTTGCAACAAGACTTAAATATTCTGCTTCCACAATAAACGTCCTTCCACTAATTGTACGAACAGTTTATTCTTAACAGAAACGCTCTACTGTGTGCTGATTCGCAAAACTGCGGGACAAGACCTAGATTTAGCTTAGTAGCGTAGCTAGAGTGTCTGGCAACGATCTAGCCTCATCTATGTATAGATCTACAAGTCTACATCCATTTTTTTTTCTCAACTTGCACAATTAAAAAGATTATCCATTCATATATTCACAAACTATTATAGCGGACCGTGGCGGTGATGAGTATGTATTGTAGAAGAACACATCTGAGTTAAAATTTCCTGCTAGCCGGTCCAGCTACATGAGAAAGTTGGACTTTAATTAAGTCCAAAGAAGACAAAGAAGACCGATAAATATATATATAAACAAATATATGTAGTAACAAGTACAAGTTACAAGCACATGGACAGAGTGCGTGTGGTGAATATTATGTGTGTGTGTTGTGTCGAGTGTTCGTACGTACGTGTATTGTTCTTAGCGTGTTCCCAGAATTTGGGAAACGCTGTATCTGTGAGAGCTCACATCTGCGAGGTGGTATAAGGCCCAAGGCCTGAGGAAAAAGAGATCGAGGCGAAGGGCCAGCCAGTATTTATAGCCAGGGGAGAGAGACCCCTGGTGAAGGGTTAAGGAGCTGAGGAGGAGCTAACTCCGACACTATCAATACCTGGTAATTGGCACTGCATCATAAATTCATAATCTTAAGTCACCACCACATGTTTAATGTGCAAGTGTTCAATGTTGTGATTGAATTACAAGTTCAGTCACTAATAATCTATGCATAGCCCTATACCTGGGTTCGTATACAATGTATAAATATATTGTTGGAATTTAATTTGAGAGCAATATTTTATAAGTTCACATTCTCGCCATTTTTTCTATCCAACCTTTTTCGTTACTTTCAAAACCGGCTCCCAAAGCCTTGATTCTTATTCGAGATAAGAATATATTTTCTGACTAACGAGAGAGCTGGAAAATATAAAAGGGAATTCCACCACCATTATTCTTTCCATGGTGCCATAAAGTCTGTGGGAAACCTTACAGCTTGTTCACTCCAACCTTTTTCATTACTTTCAAAACCGGCTCCTAAAGACTTGATTCTTATCAGAGATAAGAATATATTTTCTGACTAACGAGAGGGCTGGAAAATATAAAAAGGACTTAAAGTCTGGGAGAAACCTCACAGTTTGTTCACTCCAACCTGTTTTCACCACTTGCAAAACTGGCTCCCAAAACCTTGATTCTTATCAGAGATAAGAATGTGTTTTCTGACCAATGGAGGGACCAGGAAATTTGTATAACCATTTTGGAGGAAAAAGTCCCCGATCCTTCTGAGCCTCCCAAATCTCCATAAATTTGGAGAATCTACGCCTATTTGGCAGTGAGAATTCGACCCACCGTCTGTAAGGTCAACGATAGAAAGCACCAATCAACTTCAGAACCACTTTCAATCAAAGAAGAAATTCCTGCTGGGCTGAACAGACAGACCGTCAGCCCACTACTAAAAACCAATTAAAAGCTGAATCCCTTCACCATTCCTTTTGTCGTGCCCACTGGATTTCTGTCGTCGATCTACGAACTCACTCAACTGCAAGATTCCTATATCTACCAACAATTTTCCTACTCTACAAGAACTGTGAGTGTTTCTAAACCTTAACAAAATTTTACTCGCTTAAAGAACTTTTAAGTGCCCTGAGAAATATTTTGAGCAAACCTTTTTTCTGATATGATCATTTTCTCTTCTCTTAAAGGACATTTTTTTCTTTTCCCTTTCTTTCGCCCCTAATTGTCTTTATCTTTTTTTTTTTTTTTTTTTAAATAAACACTTTCTTCTTTTATTGTTACACATCAAGCAGGAGTTTTTTTCTTTATTCGTCCACACCTAAAAGAGAGAGTTTGTCCGTTCTAATCTTGCTGTTTTTACTCACGCTTTGTCGCAATTTTTTAACCTCAGCCCTTTGATGCGGGAAAGCCGGGACAAATTTCCCTGCATTTTTTTGTTCAAAATATAATATTGTGTGTGTTGCTAAGTATAAAATTTGCTCAAAATATAATATTGTGTGTTCTGCTAAGTACAGCATTTGCTCAAAATAATGTGTGTGCTGCTAAGTACAACATATTTTTTTTTTTTTTTTTTTTTTTGAAGACTCTAGTACTCGGTGTGTGCGTTAAAGTGGAAGAATTTGTTTCAGATATACTTCGTTTCTTTTCTTTAAGTGAACAGTTGTTTTGGTGGTTCTCACTCCTTTTCTGGATATTTTTGCACAGTTTGGGGAATTTTATAGTTAGTATCAGACTATGGAATCCTCCATACTTGCCTGTCACCCCCTACAGGAAGATGCACTCTTCCCCAAATTAACCTTTAACCCATCATCACTTCACTTTTCCAAACTCAACTTGCCATTGGTTAAAAGGACACAGAGATGTGGCAAGTTGAGACAAATCATTTTTCCCGCGCAGCTGTCTGGAGCCTATTTGAAAACCCAAAAATCTATAAAAAAAAAAAAAAAAAGGAAAAAAAAAAAAGGATCGCTCCACTTAATTCAAAGATGCCAGCAGACTCCATCCGTGCCAACACACTGACTCAATAACACTACCAGCCTCTCATCAACTCAACCTCGCACTACTATTGCCGCGTGAAGAAACTTAACTTACAATTTACTAAAAAAGTGACATAGTAATTACATTTAATCAACCTTAGCATATCAGTCGAAAGCCCACAACTCTTCATAACTTGAATCAACACTTACATTTGTCACACACATACACACTATTATTTGAACTCACACAATTGACATTTTAGCTTGCAGAAATCAAACTGTTTTAATTTCACAAACAAACTTAAACCATCAACATTCATTCAACAAATCTCTGCATGGACACTCATTGCAATCTTATCTCACTTGCCACGTTTAACAAGCAACCTATCATCACTTTGTGTATTCAAATTCATGTTATTGTTGAAATCTATAACTACGTTGTTTTTCCCTCGATTTTTTCAACTTGTATTGTCTTCATATGTTCGTTTAATTTATTTGGTGTGGATAAATGCATAATGTACACGCACATTTTAGGCCTTCATACAATTTCACCTTCTGACACATACTTAGCATAAATTCTGCAACAAGATTTACTTAAATTTAAAACTTACGCGTATCACAATTTGACACACACCAAACAAAATACGTCTGTTTGTTTTAATATCCCTATATTGCGTACCAGAATGTTACGTCAGTGATGTCTATTCTGGGGTCATAGAATGTTTCTGACTTCAGACTTTTTCTCTCATGAGCCCAGCCGAGAGCGATCATTTCTCATGATCACTTCCGCATGATTGCAAGAATTCATTGTAATAATTTTTGTGCCTACTCAGTACAAATTTACATGAAGTTCAAAGGAACTCAATATCCCGTTTTGTTTTGTTTTTTTGTTTTTACAATTTGTTTTTCCTCGCAATTTTTTTTTTAGTAACCCCACTAATTTCTTTAGGCAAATCTCAATTAAATATCTGAAATAAAACCCAAATTAAACTTCAAAGAAGACATTTTTATTATTTAAAATACGTTTTTATGTTATTTTTTTAAGGAGTCAGTGGACGTACCGACTATGAATTGATAAGCAGTCCTTTGGTACTTTTTGTTTGTCGTGAGTTATCTGTCACCACTTTTAAATAAATTTTCCAAGTTTTTCACAAATACAGATGTGAAAAATGTACTATCCCAAAAATTCATTTCGCACCCTTAAAAAGAGAAAAGAAAAAAAAATTAATTAAAAAAACATTTTAAATAATACATCTAACTTTATAAAAGATCACCAATAATACGCAAATTAAAAGGTAGCGACAGATGAAACGAATTTTTAAAAGAACTGGTTTTTAAATACCTAACTTTTTAAAATATTTATTTCGAAATTAACGTCATTTCTTTTTTAATTTTTTTAATCAAATTAATTTTTTTTATGCGGAAAATAAAATTTTAAAATTGTTTTCGTCTTTTTTTTATTTTTATAAAGAGTTTTTTTTTAAAATTCAACAATGTTCTGTTTCGTTTTATTCGTCATTCCGCATTTTTTAAATCCCCATGCGACTGATTATCTTCACTTCACCTCCCAAAAAATAAAACAAAAAACTAAAAGTGAATGATTTTTCCTTGTAAAAGAAGGGAAATTTTTCAGTTTTAGTTTTCAAACTAAAAAAAGCGATGACTAAATGCAGAAGATATTAAGGCGCCTGTTTCCAGCAACGACACTCATTAGTTGTCGACAGTCGGTTTATTTATCATTCCAAAGGACTTCTTCAGGATACACGTGGTTTGCAAAGAGGAGACACACGGAGCCGGCGCCCATACCCTCCTCTTTATCGGGACACGTCCCCGTTAGTAGCAGCTGGCTAAATTTCTTCAATTCCCACACACATCAGGATAACCCGCTTGATCTTCTTAGACGAGACGGTTTAAGGTCATTTTCTTCGCATTTTACAAGAAGTGTCATGTCCACAAATACTCGCAGGTAAGAAAAAAGATTTTTTGTTCCTTTGAGCGCACGAAACCTTTTTTGACATGGCAAATTCGGAACACATTTTTTTTAAACAGGGAATTTAATTTATTAAACTTGACTAATTTGTAAAACGTAAAAAACAGAGACCAGTAATTAAAGTAAGTATATAAATTAATTAAATAATTAAACTTTTTTAGCTCGACATTTTCTCTTCTTTTGCGGAATAAGAAATATGAAAAGTAAAACTTTATTTTCTTACTTAATTTGGCATTACTTGGTCCACTCATAAAAAACAGACATTTTTTTTTTAAAGAAATAATTTTTGTTTGAGCATTCTATCGATCTTCCTTGGGCCACGACATTTGTCAGAACCGAAGAATATTGTTTTATTACCGATATCTGAATGCTTAATTATTGAATTTAGTTGTTTTGCAGACGAAAATAGACTTCTTTTTCTTTTTTTAGGTGGGGCTACAAAAAGTCTTGAAAAAGACTACTAAAAAAATAAATAAAAGATTTAATTATGTAAATTTTAGTTTTTAATAATTTTCTATTTAATTTATGAAATAAAATTATATGTATCGGTTTTTTTTTGTTTTTTTTTCCTTTTTCTTTTCATTTACAAATAATGATCGACCGCAAATGTCTGTGCATGTGCTTTTGAAAAAAAAATATAAAAAGGTTAAAAATTCAAGAACATTTTTATGAATGGACCCGTAAACAGTGACCATAATTCCCGTGGAGGACAAATCATGTCTATATTTAATAATCTACTGCTTTTGACATTTTTATGAAAAAAAAAACAGATGTGAAAAAATGCTCAGAATATGAGGCTAAGTAAAACAATCTGTATTGTTAATTTTACCGCTTTTTCCGCATCGTAACCACTGAATTATCTCCCTTACATCTCCTAGAAATTTCTTTAACCAGCATCATATTCTGAGCCTCGTGAATTTAAGAAGTCCTGCATTCGAAATAAAACAGCATAATTTAAAGTTCGCACTGTAAGTAAAAATTGATATTTAATTTCTCGGGTAGATTTAAATTGACATGGTAATATTATTTTTAAAGAAGAAAAAATCCTTTTGTTCTGGAAACATTTTTCTTCGCCTACAATACATTCTTTCATGATAATCTTCCACTTTTTTTTTTTTTTTTTTCGTCGCTTTTTAAGTCCTTTCTACAGATTTTGGTCCGGTGTGTTTTTGTGGATCTACAAAAAAAATGTTCCTAGTACGGTGCTTATATTTAGATATGTTAGTTAAAGATATGTTACAATATTGTTTTCTATGCGAAAATTGTTCATAGGATTTCATTTTTTTTTTTTTTTTTTTTTTTTTTTTTAAATAAATAAATTAAATATTATAAATGAGAGAAAAAAACCGCTTCGCACGTTGAAATAGACCCGATCCGACTGAGTTCTTGCGATCAGAAATAATTAAGCACTCCAGATCACGAATAGCTTTTTTTTTTTTTTTTTTTTTTATAAAAGATCCGATGCAGTTTAAGTAAAAAAAAAAAACTCATTGTACTCATTGTAATCGATTACCCTACGCAAGCCAAAACAACATATGCTCATTCTCATACGACGTAATTTCTTAGTTAAAATGTTAAAAAAAAAAAAAAAAAAAAATTAAGTTAAATCCGTAAACTGGAATGCTTAAATTATGAGAAAAGACAATCAAGATGTGGTTACAGGTATTGATTGAGCATATTTTGTTTTGGTTTCCGTAGGGGGGGGGTCAATTGACACCAAATTGGACCATTTTTTTTTTTTTTTTTTTTTTTTTTTTTTTTTGTTTAAATTTTTATAACCTTTTAATTTTTTTTTTTTTTAATATTTGTGATGCTGAGTGACTAGTGATGATTTACCCAAAAGTGCTTAGTAGCACTAAAACATAAAAAAAGTATTAAAAAAAAGATTATTATTTCCGACAAAAATCACAAAAACACACACACAAAAAGAAGTTTTTTGTTTGTTTTTGTTTATTCTCATAAATTTTTTTCAGCGTAATATTTATTTTGCGGTATTAAATTAATTAATTGTACTTGTACACGATAATTTCAATTTGTCACTGAGACATTATCTGTAATCGAGGTCAGTACTGTAAAACTTTTGCGCAGAAAAGTAACCAAAAAAAAAAATAATTGTCAATCAATATATCTCCTGCTGACCTCTAAACCGTAGATTTCCGCCAACTTTTAAATAATGCTATTTTTTTGGAATAATCAGGTGATTTTATACTAGGAATTGTTTTTTTTTTAATTTGTCACTAGGGCATTATTTGCAAATTTATCATCGTTTTTCGTGTTTTTACCCCAGCGCTCAACGGGGAACTCCCGCTTCACACACACCCCCCTCCCCGACTCCGCAACACATGATGATGACTAGTTTTTTTTTTTTTTTTTTTTTTTGTTTTTGGTGTGGTAACTAAAAACACCAAGTCATTTCCAATTGTTTGGAAGATGATTTCTTTAAAACACGTAAGACCATAGTGAAAAAAAAAACATTTTTTCACCTCTGAAGGGAGATTGGTGTACTAAAAATAGTAGAAATAAAAAATACCGTCTTTTTTTTTTTTTTTTTTTTTTGTTTGAATTAATTTATTCCTTTGTTTTTATTTTTTCATTTTGTTTGCAGATTTTATGAATTTGTTTATTAACAATTCGTTATGATTACAAAAGTAAAACTATTAAAATCAAAACTTATTGGTAAGAAAAAGAACTCAACGTTTTTCGTTTTTACGACTTTGCATTCGGTTACTGTTCGGTTCGTTTAACTAACAAAAATTAGGTACCACCTGGGACTTTCTAAAAGAAAAAAAACGAAGTCATTTAACTTAAATATTTTATTTTTATTAAAATAATTTCCTTTGAAACTATTTGAAAGATAATGGTTTAAAAAGACCTAATCTTTTCATACAGAAAAGAAAAATTAATTTCCCTATATAAATTAACATTTTAGGCATTTTAAAAAGCATTGTTTTTTCGCCACTCATCACGCCACCATTGTAGTATAATACGAAATAAAATGTGAACAACAAATTTAAAATTCTCTTTAAAAAATCCAATATTTGCCCTAAATATGTTTCGATATGTTAGATTTTGTTATAGCAACGATTACCTTAAAAACAAAGAAAATGCGACGCACACTAGCTTGTGAGATCAAAGGTAAATATAGAAATGCAGTTTTTCTTCCACCATCCGAAAAAGCGCGGTAAAAGCAAAAAAAATGGAAACATAAAATACGGAACACCAGCACTGCAATAATCAAGAATTTATTATTTATGTATAAAACTAAATTTTCTTTAAACTTATATAACCAATACTTTAAGAATGCATATTTTTTTATTTTTTATTTATTCTATAAGCCTTCTTTTAAATGAATAATTTCATTTTTATACTAACACTGAACGCGGAAGGTACAAAGTGATATAATTTTTAAAATATTTAAATCTGTTTTTATTTAATAAAATAAACTCTTATCACAAACAGCAAAATGGCACTGAAAAATTGCCCTTTTTTACTTTTTTTTTTTTTTTTTTCGCCTGCTGAACCTGAGAGAACATAATGTTTTATTAAATTATGCAAGCACCATTTCTCCCCAAAAATTATTTTCTGTTTTATTATTGTTTTTGACAAGATGTGTAGACTGAAGTTTCCATATGTCCAGGTTTGATATTGCATAAATTTTTTACTGAAATATTTTATATATATATATAACTGTAAAAAAAAAAATTGATGACCCCCTCCCCACCTCCGATAAAAAGTACACACACAGTATCGAATGCATGTTTTGCTCAGGTGAGGCTGGTAAACCCAACAAGTTAAAGGAAAACAATAGTTGAAAAGCTCCACTGTCTTGTGGCTATAATCATTTATTGGAATGTCTTTCAGAGTCAACCCCAATTACCAGTCTTGTCCTTTTTTTTTCCAATTCATAACTGTATGCTGTTATTAATGGACACAGGTTCAAACTTGACATGTTAATAAAAATAAAGTACAGATAACTCTTGATAGTCAGGGAACATTTGACACTATATTGTAAACAAGACCCAGTGCTTCTCAAGTTTTTGATAAGAAAAAATTAGTCATAAAGGAGGTCTTTAAAAGCTTGACTTGTCATTCACCGTAGAATTAAGAGAATTGCCTTTTTTTTTTTTTTTTTTTTTTTTTTAAATGATTGCCATTTTTGGTTTAGAATTCCCAAAGATTAACTGTACAGTTTTCATTTAAAGGGATTTAGGAAGAATATGGATTTTTACTTTGTAAAAAAAAAAAAAAAAAATCTTTTACCAGAAATAGATTTGACAAAACAAAATATTACCAGCAATAAAAATTATGTTGGCATGAAATAACCCATTGAGGTTGATATGCCGTAAAACACAACAAACTAAACCAAACATCAGGATGCGTAGATTGGCAAGAAGTTGGGTGGTAGGAGCTACCATAGCAGAAGTTGTCCCAAGTATCACCAAAACGAACTTGGAGGAGCTGACAAAGCCTAGAATAAAGCTACTATATATAATGTGGGGAAACAGAGTTAACGTTATTTCTTGACATGGTGTTTCTTTCATCATTACCTTGCATCACACTCATTTACAGCTGTCAGTGAACTCCAGTTCCTTGCTCACCAGCCCATAATTGACTAGATTTTGCTTCATGCTGGCTGCTGATACTATATTCTTATTCATGTAAATATCATCAATGTACCGATGTTGCTTGCCAGATAGTTTCTTCACTCAATCATCACAATCTGGTATGGCCGCAAACATCAGTGCACACATACACACCTGTAAGAAAGAAAATTTTTCAAAGGCCAAGCATCGAAACGTTGCCCCCCCCTTTTTTCTGCTCTCTGTTTGTGCACAGTCCTCAGCATGAGCTGTGTATGCATTTAAGAAAAAAAAAAGAAAAGCCTATTCAGTTCACAAAAGTTCAATATGGTGTGCACCATAGTCTTATTTTACTGATAGACTGCCATCAACAGAATCAGGCCCATTGATAGGCCC